TTTGGACACAAGATTGCTTGTGCTTTTACTTGTATTCCCTCCCCCCTCCCCCCCCCCCCCCTTAAAAACATTAAAAACTCGGAAAATATAGGGGTATGAACTCACCTCGAGTGAATGGCTAGTATGAAAGATTGATATGAATTGCCGAATGTCAAGGGAAGCCTCGAACACGATTGGATCCTATTTAATATGTAATAACACATATAGGAGTCAAATTAGGGTATTTCACTACTAGACATGATAGGAAAACACTCTAGGGACTTGGAAACACTTGAACTATGTGTCAAAACAATACGAGATTGAGTGAAGGAGGTGTACGGCCACCCTAAGGGTGTGTACGGCCATGGGTGTGTGGCCCATGAGTGTACGGTCGTACACTCACGATGAGATGTGCTTTTGAGGTGTTTCCAAGGTTCTAACTAGCATCCAAGGAGTGTTCTAGTTCCCATGCTTGGCTGTAATGCAAGTTTGAGGCCTAAAATGATCATCAAAGTGGGTTTACAACCCTAAGAGGTGTGTGCGGCCGTACAAGGGGTGTGCGGCGGTACACCCTTCATGTTGATGCCAAATTTGTCGACTTTAAGGTGAATCAAGGCTAGGTTCATGTCCAACTAGAAGATAAGGGCCAAACTCTCACTTTGGAGGGCCTTTTAGTCATCATTGTCCCACTTTGATCTTCTCCTTGTTGCCTCTAAAGTTTCATCTCTAGCAAATTCTGCAATGGGTGTACTTAAACATACACCACTTTCAGAGCAGTGAGGAGAAAGTACATCTTCTTCTGCCATCTACGAAAATCTTGCCCTCCAAACTTGTTAAGTTTGTCAAACTTTCTTGTCATTTCTTCACAGATTCACCACATGCCATGATCACAAAATGCTTTAATCTTTGTTAGAAAATCGAGGTATAGAATTACTTGGATCAATGAGAGTTGTGAAAAACTTTCAGATTAAAGCATTTTGAGGTTACACACGAAAATCTCTAATCGGATAAAACTCACTGTTTTCAAGAATAGAGAATGAAGAAGATGTTATGAAGTTCAGTACCCAAAAAGATTTTGCAATGATCATATAACAGGAACTAACTTCTTGTCTTAAAACTGCCATATGGTAGTTAGAGGAAAACAACTTCCTGTCCAAAAAACTGTCACATTACATGTCATAAACTAACATAAAAACGGGTCTATAACGAGGGTCACAATACCGAGTTTATTCCAAAAAACCGTATTTCTAAGGCATTTTTATAGAGCACCATAACACATATAAAATAGTTTGGGGCTCCTCCCCTTGCATCCAGCTAGGGGCTGCCGCCCCTTGGACCCTGCTCCCAAGAGCGTTGCCCCCCGACCCCCGTCAGTTCAGGGGCTTCGCACCTAAATAGCAGTATACTTTCAACAAACACAAAATTAAACAAATGTACACTCCGCACCATACTAATTTGTTCAATAATTGTCAAAATGACATTGATCAACAAATTAACCCCATTATACTTAAATAATATTAGTGATATAAAATCACCAACACAGTCAACCTCGGTACTACCCGTTCAAAGTTTATAATATGATCTTTCATGTACTTGTAGTTTCCATATTTAAGTTATTTGGTTTATAGTTGAAAACAGGCATGAGTATGTTGTTCGATTCAATTACTCAACTTCTTGTAGACTCTTGTTTCTTATGTTGTTGGCTATGTGTGTGTGTCTACATATGTGCGTTTGTGTATCTAGTGAGTACATGTGTGTCGGTAAATAATTAAAGTATATCGTTATTTCTTGCATTTACCCTTTTTCATTTTGGGATAAATACAAGAATTACAATGTATCATCTTTTTTTGTACTTTCTATTAATTTAAATTCTTAACTCTTCTCCCCGATGGTTCGGATCTGCTTGTTGTTGCTGTACTTTAGTAGTTGCTATTATGTCAGTACCAATTATGTCAATTTGGATGGTTTTTTGAATCTTGGTTCTTGATAATGGTTAGACTTATTTCAAAGTCACAAATACCAAAAATACTAAAGATAAATAGTATTTTAAACTGTAGCTACGGACCTGTTGCTTCAAATATACCTAAACGAAACACAAATGTGCAAAACATAATTTTTAAACAAGCACCTGTGAAAAAAAAATAGAAACGGGCCTTTGGTTTAAATTTTTTTGTTCTCCACATGTGGTTTAATGTTACAAAACTTTTGTCTTTGAAGTTTTAATTTCTTTATGGAAAATTATACGAGCCTTCTATATTTTATTTCTTTAATCATTTATTAATAATGAAATGATAAAACTATTACTCGTAACTTTATTTTACTTTTTTTGCAATGAAAATAACCATTTTTCCAATAACAAATATACTTTCACAATTTCATTGTTAATGAGAAGTGACCATTTTTGTATTAGTGGGGGTGAGGGACGGTGAGTGGAAAAGATAGTGAGATGTGAAAAAACTATTTGTACCCGTCGCTTGGCGCGGATAAT